ACAAGTGATACTTGAATACATTGGTCGATCATTTTTCTTCGCTATGATCGAAACCCTCGTCGCTTTGCTCAAAAAATCATTCTCTTACCTTTTCACGAACCTTCGCCGAGTTTTTTCAAAGCAACAATCATCGTTAGTTGACTCACCTGCAACATAGAACAAAATAATTCCTCATTTAAAAACGCGCATACGTAAACACATAACATCGAGATATATTTCATTTCCAAAGTATCAATGATCAACATTGTGTACACTTCGCTATAGCGAAGCTCATTGTATACGTAGTAATTAAAACCCAATGAAATCACTTATCCATTATTCAAGCACCGTAATGTTCGTAAAAAAATATGTGCATGAAATAACTCAACGCTGACATCACCATCATCGGAGCCATGATAGTACAGTTAAGTCTACTGTTAAAACGATATATAGCATCAACAACAACTCTTCTCTCGATAAAACGATCACCGACGCCGATCGATAAAAGAAAAGAAAAACGCGAATTGCACACGCACAGACGTCAAAACAGACACATTCCTCGCGAGCAAGACTCGCTTGTGCAAATAAACCAATGGCCGCAGACGTGTTTGAAATCTCTAAGCGTTTTCTCGTCCAAGGCTTTTTTTCGCACGAGGGCTCACAATAATCTTGTGCCGTGGGAATTGACGAGAGACGCGAGATGATTGCCGAGATTCCGAGTGGTTAATTGAATTGGCACTTGGATAATGGACGTGCAATGTCGACGTTTCTTTCATGCGATCGTCGCGCGAGCTGCTTGTTTGCTCGCTACCTTGAAAATTGTCGTCGACCATTTTCGCGCGAAGGACTTTAGGGGTATCGAACCGTGTCGAGCGCGTATCACCCACTTTAAAGTTACGTTTGATAGCCAGATCCTAAAGACTTTTCAATCGTGCGGGAAACGATAGACAATTACAATGTCAAAATAAGGTAAGCGGTGTTTCGAATCGCTATTAAAGAAAAAAAACATTCACAACACTTTCCATTAATCACTCCAAGCAAGCGAAACTATTTCACGCTCAGTTAGGTAGAGAAAGAAACTTGACCGTCGATTATCGATCTTGCTTGCGTCAAATTACGTCACTTGGCAGAATTTTTTCCTCTAATAGACCCATCAGCGAAGCGTCCGGCAGTGATGCGTCAATCGCAACAACTCTGAACGCCTTGCACCTTTTCCCGTGTTACAAGCAAGAAAGGAGCGCACATCCTCCAGATGTTCCCAAAACTGTATGGCAGACGGTCAGGCGATGAATCCGCGTGTACTTATAATCTGTTCTCTGCGCGCTGCCTGACCTTTTCGTGGAACTGGGGTTTTCATTGTTTGGCTTTCGGATGTATGTAGTTCGGCGACGTCTCCAAAGAAGAATAAAAGCGGAGCACGCAAACGCGGAATGCTACTTCTATAAATTGTTATCCGTCGAGCGAGATTGGTAAAAGAAGGACTCACGGGAGGATTTAAAATTGAAATGAATGCTCGACGTACGCAAAAACATCATCATCTTAACGACCCAATTACACGTCCTTAAAAGTGAGCGCTGGCAGAACGAAGGAAAGAAGAAGAGAAAAATCGGCGGCCATACACCAGTCGATCGCCCATCGAGGGTCACGGCCATTCGCCACCAGCGTCGTATACATAATTACAACGTGCATTTCACGACTGGAACGCGCCTGCCGACAATAACAAATGAAACCGAGGCAACGAGGTCGTAAATATTTTTCGCTCGTTGGCGCGCGCCAAGTGCGAAAGAGAGCATTAGGATAAGTTGACAACAAGTCCGTCGTAGACGTATGGAAGCGAGTGAAAGCGGCAAGACCAGGCCAGCAGCAGCCAATCGGGCGTCACATTCGACTGCCACGATGCGCGCGATGATAAGAACGGGGAGCGCGTTGCGTAAAGGGATGGGGGGCGATTCGTTAATTCGCCGCGGGTTGCTTCTGCTTGCGCCTCTCGTTGCATTCTTTGCCCGTCGTCGCGCTCGGATACACGGCATTTGCCGAAGCACAAAGGTGTCAACCGCAACAACACACAAACGCACGCGCAAGAGCTTCGTGTGCGTTTAATGTGCAATTATCCTTCGCGCGCGCAAAAGCGGAAAGTGAGCGAGCGGCATAGCTGCTCTTGTTGTTCCTCGCGGAATTCCCCGACAATTTTCTTGCCCTCGCAGCCCTGCCGAACAACAACAGGTGAGCGCAGAAATTTAATTAGCGCGTGCGCGCGCATAATGAACACGTGCTCGTTGTATGTGTCTCTGCGCTATAATTCATCCAAGACCAGGCGCATACCTTTGCTCTTTTAACGAGCGAGCGCAAAGCTTTTGTTGCGGCAAAAGTGTGACCGAAGGAAAAGGGAGCGCGGGAGGCGGAGTCGTTCGAAGGGATGCACATTTATGGGTTCGCGTTTAGAAGCTGATTTTCCCGCGGAGCGCGCTTGGTCGGTCTGGTGCAATTACGAGTAGCATGTACTCGGGTGCGCGACATTAGGTAAGTGTCGTGCGATTGACAGCGCGGAGACGTTTAACATTTAGAGGGCTGGGATTTCAAGGGGCATATCGCCCTCAGAAAACTGGTATAAAAGGTATCTTATATCATTGATTGATCATAGGGAAAGTGTTAATCGGGGGTAGCGTCGATATATTGATTCTACGGCCCTCTAAAGGTCAATTGGGCGCGTACACCCGTGTGTTTGCGCGCGGCTAACCGAGTGGCTTTCACACGCGCGCAAACGCGCCGTATACGCTAACGTCGTCGCGCCTTTATCGTTAATTCGACGATGCACGTGTATTACGTAGCCGGCAATTACACAACAACGCATTGCGGATTGATCGGAGTACCTCGCGTGTGTCGCAAAGGCCGCGGCAGCTCATCGCGCTCTGTCCGTCGAGCCTCTCTTTTCCTTTTCGCGCTGCTCCCCACGTTAACCGCACGCGCGCCACAGAAATATGCACGATATCGATGCCCGGCGTTGCGTTGCACTGCAGGCTCTGAAACGAAGCGCGACCGAGGAAAAGAGATTTTGCTGCTGCACACAAACAAAACGGACGAGAGGCAAGCTGCAAAGTTTACGAGTGGTAGATAAGAACAACGATGCCGAGGGAAAACGCCGCGCGTAGGAAAGTGATATTCGAGCGAGGAACGCCGGTAAAAGAAGTCGAGGGGGGCAATTATACAAAGGCTGTGTTACGGCAAAAGGCGCGAAAATCAGTCGCACGAAACTTGAGCTTAGGCCATTTTCAAGCAATTTCCATACAATCTTCTAGTATTATAATCGATGAATATTCAGCCGAAAGCGTATCGATCGAGGAAGCCCGCATTGTAGCAAATTTAAGAAAGATGCAATGTACCTGACTCCGTGTCATCGGGATCAGCTCCGCGAAGACACGAATGGAAGCTCCTAGAGAGTCGTCGACCTCCTGGCGAGGCCGCTGCAGCCTCGACTGATACCGACTGATGCATCTTCTTCTTCGTCGTCTCAATTCATCCGTGACAACATTCTCTAGCGCACATGCACACTTTCACCCGAGAGCTCTTTCTTTCGTTTATTTGTGTATATCTGAAAAGAACGTGTCAACTTTCTAAAATGTCTCGTGATAATTGTCCGACTCCGTGCGCGTGACGTGATCCACTTGTCTCGAGACGTTCGCGGGGTTAGATTTTTTTATTATCGGCAGCGCTCGTTCAACCAGTAGCTTTGCTATCTACGTCAAAAGGAACGATGCAGTTGTCGTCGCATGAATCAAACTGGCAACCACTAACTCTAGATTGGCGATTAATTCCGATTATAATTCGATGATTTCATTGTCAATCTCTTGCGATATGTCTGTCGTTTGTCGTATAAGGACATTGCCACCGGCACTACTTGGTTTCATACGCATGATTTCAATATCGCTGGCTTTGCGACACTAAGAAATGTAAACGACCTCGTTTAAACTTGTTTTTCTTTCTGTTCGTTTAAGGCAGCTATTTAGAAACTAATTACCTTTTTTTTGTTGAACAATAAGAAGGACAATTGTATGAAAATACCACGGAGAAAAAGCGCTTCGAGTTAACGAAAATTAGGTTGTCCGTTGTAATCGACTGTTTTTGTTCTTCCGAGTCAAGGACTTGCATGTCGAATTGCTAATCGACGAGGTAGAGGTTTAGTTTCTAATTATTTCGTTCAAAAAACGGTTTCTCTATATCGTGCAAAGAAAAACTTACTTTCGAGAATAAAACGTACTAACAAGTAAAATAATCCAACCACGACGCGTAAAACCAGAAGCGATATCTAAATAAGTGTTGACGATATGTTTATACTCGATTGCATGCATAATTTATGAGTGGAGCGCGTTGTCTGTGCGTACGCATGTGGGTAACAAGCGAAGTGACTGAACCCTTGTAAACGCGTAGGTGTGGCGTGGGTTAAGTTGGCAAGTGGGATGAAAGATCGATTTGCAATTAAGGGAGCATGTGGAAAAAAAAGAAGCTTAGCGAGAGATTATTATAGATCTTTCATCGGCTGAATAGACAACGGATGTTGTGGGCTTGTTTCGTTGGATGAAATTAGCGATTATTCTCGTTACCTTTCGTTGTGTACGCGCATCAACCGCTGCGCAATGGGCGCCGATGAAATCGACGATAAGAGTGCAAATCGCACTGTACGAACGAATGGAAATCAGAGCGAATCGAACGTACACGCGGTCGGGATTCAGCAGGTGCCACGAGCACGCTCGAATAAGCGGTGATTAATTATTGAAATCCGTATCTAGCCGATGACGAGCACCGCCACGGCAAACGGTTAATTATTCGCGATAGAGCGAATTATCGACGACTACATATGCCTATCACTTTGTGCGGCGCGCGTGCACGCGTGAAAGTTTAGAAACGGCGGGCGAGCGTTAAAAATACGTAACGAGCTTCGACGAAAAAACGGCAAATCGGAAATTAGCCGCGTATCTCGAAAAATCGAAATGCAAAGTTTTGAGCGCGAAAAGCAGGTCGCTCGGGAGAGGGGGACAGCAGAGAAACTTGGAGCGCGGATTTTCCGCGACCCGATTTCCCCAAACGAGCCGTTCACCGTTAAACACCTCTCTCGCGCGCGCGAAGAGAGGAAAAAAAAACGAAGCTCGAACTTGCGAGCGGGTAACAAGTTGGGATTCCACGGAATTAATTGGCGCCGGTTCTTCTCTCTTTCGAGCGATGCAGAGCGAGTTAATTGTGTTAATCGAGCCACTTTAATACGCTCGCGTGGCTTTGCTGTGTGTGTGCATTTATAAATTGATGATTTATCGGAGGGAGTGAGAGAAACTGGTTCCTTCGACTATGAGATGCTGCTGCTTCGATCTTGTTCAGTGAATCGCGATGTTCGATCGAGAGACTCGCTGCGGCGGTTATTTTGATGATACGAGTTAATTAGATTTGCGCATCGTTGAGTTTCTAATGCCGTATGTGTACCGAGGTATTGGATTATTTTTTTTGCGATCGTTGCGAGGCAAAGGGAAAAACGTTGTCTTGCTTGAATCGTTTAATTTTTGTTTCGAGTAATCTCTTTTTTATGTACAGTTGAATGCTTGAGTTGCGAGGTATTGAATTTAAGCAACCGCGAAAATGAAAAAAGTAATCTCATCATGAATACTAGTAGAGTTTGAGAATTACGAACCAGATATTCAGGTATAACACGAATGTGAAAAACCCCTATTATAAAATCTATGTCAATACGATAGAAATATAGGAATCGCAAAATATTTCAGAAACAAGCAAGTTCTGGCGAACGCCACCTAGTAATCATTAACTAAAGATCCCATCTACGCGTATTAAACTTTCGATCAGAATCAGTAGACATCCGTGTGCTCTGAAGTAAGGTGAAAAACGCATCTAGCCACGAGGTTTGCCTCTCGAACGTACTCGCGCATTTGCGCGCAGACTATTTCCGCGCGGATTGCGAGTTTTGCTGAAAATAGCATCTTCGCGAGGAGAGAGACGTGTCGCCGCTGGCTGCTGGCGTTTTTCGCAAAAGGCTTGCATGTGTGCGTGCGCGCAACGGACAAAGCCTGATCCGTCGGCGATGTTCCTCGCGATCACGCCAAATGTACCCCGTCGCGCCTTCTTGTTTGACGACATCGCCTGCCGGCTTGCGCGGTACATCTTTAATTGGGAGGGATCGCATTTTCAGTAATGCCGAAATCGAGCAACGCGTCCGCCGATCGCAAAAAGCGACCTCGCCGATCTTCTCGCCGGCCAATCCCCACCAATTATAATTACTTAAGCAAGCCTCGCGTGGCTTTTTTTTTCTTGTTTTTGTTTCTTTTCATCGATACCGCCGACACATAACAGCCTCACTTGCGATCAACGTGGAGAAAGTTCGCGCGCACACTCGTAACTCATTGCTGCGCTCTCGCGGTGAGAAACGTCTACGTACACGAGAAAATCTACGGCTCGGAAACACACGCAGCGGGCTTACGAGTCTCTATGGGGCCAGAGAAAATGTTATCACTCGAGTTGCCTTAGACAAAGGAGAGCATCCCTTTTTCTAGGATGCATAGGCAAGCGCGGATGGATTTACGAGATTCTGGACGTAGAAGCCTCCCGAAACCCCCGGCAAGCGAGAGATACGAGTGCAAAGTGAATCATGGCTTCGCGAGCTGAGAATACGAAATTCTCCGAGGTCAATGTTTGATGCTCGCAGCTACCGGGAGTTTCATCGCGCGGGTGATACTATCAATCACGAAAGACGGATAATTTGGATTGGGAGATTTGTGATTTTCGCCTTACGCCAAAATTAAAGTCTGCATAAAATATACGCGAACGCGCGCCCTACATCTACGTACATTATTTACGCTTTAAGAATGAGCATGAAAATGGTTTGTTGCGTTGCAGACTTTGATTCGTAGTCCAGAACCTTCTACGAGCATTGGCTTCGAAATCTTATTTATAACAACGCGTTGACTGATAAAAGTCGTTTGCAATCTATGTGCGACACATTCGATCTACAATGTGAATCCATGGTCATTGTGTCGAAGACGCCGGCAATGGGGGAGAAAATGAGATATCCTCCAAAAATTGCGTCTAATTTAGAGACGAGTCGCCAATTCGTCGAGGCACACTGGCTCTTGGATCAAATCAACGGACGTAAAAGGTCCACTCATAAAACTCGGCCAGAAGGAACGAGCAGCAAACGTGCATCCTCGGAAGTCCATTCAAGCATTCTTCCCGGAAAAAAAAACCAAGACTCTTGCGAGTTATCTCTCGTTGCGCGGAGCACTCGAGTGCCCGTGTCGGACTATTGCGGCTCATCCCAATGACGTATGTACGCGAGAGAGTTGATTAATCGCTGCCCAGCGGAAGCGAAGGAAGTCTCGGCTACGAAAGTTTTGAAAATTGAGAGTGTGTCGATGATGGACACGCTGCGCGTATGCGCGCTCGTTGGAAAGAGGAAAAGAAGAAGTAGTATTTTTTTTTATCGCACGAGGGTTCGGTGAACCGCGCGCCAGATACTGCACACGGAGCGCAGGAAATCCTGCGGACTATTCCGTGTACGCTGAAATAGAAAAAATGCGCGGGATTATCAATAAGAAACGAGGGGGCCGATATGGAAAGGCGACGAAATAAGAGTATGCGAAAACCGAGGAGTTCGCCAGGCTAATTGGCATCGATTCGAGCCCTTTACGAGGCTTTTCTCAAACCGTTACCGCGCGCGTTCTTGTAGTCGTGGCTTCCCATGACAACAGCGCCTAGGGAAAATAGTCGCTGTACGCGCGATGATTTGACGCTTTCGTGTGATACTTTACCGTAACACTGCGCTCCAAAAAGACAATCGCTTCGCTGCTGCCACACGGCAATTTTACCATGGTGAAGTAGCGATTTTCTCTATTTTATTATTGTTTGGAGTAAGCGATTCTATACCGACAATAAAGTACAATGTAAAAAACATCTAGTGTTTATAATTCTCTTTATAAATATATATATATGAAAACAATAAAATTGTAAAGTCTAGATCCGATACAAATATGGTGCCAACGGTTCTTCAACCATGCTGCCTAGCAGACAGTCAGTAACTTTGATCACGTGTGAACAAATACTTGGACAACAAATAGGTTTAAAAAATCCAAGCAATTACACACAAAGGATGGATGCCATGGAGCGTACAGTCGAAATAACATACTTTCATTAACGTTTCGAATCTGAGTTTTCATGGTCTGCATTATATTAAACTACACGGAGTTCTATTTTCGTTCTGTCATACAGAAAAAGATAACGCTGCTCGTATTATCGAGTGTACAAAACGAAGCATTTAATCATCATTTCCGCCTCGGCGGCGAAACCCAACGCACAATGCAAATATCAATCTATACAAAAAACAAAGTCGCAACGGAAATGAAAGACCTTCGGTCACGCATGAGTGGCAATTTTCATTCGAAATAAAAGAAAAACGAAATAACAGAAAAAAAGAAGAAATTGTACACGTACATGCGTACGTAGCGTAGACGCGGAAGTGCACACCTAGGCATTAAGCGACACGTTTCGCATGCGCGCGTGTAGGGGTATACAAAAGCCCTTTAATCATCGTCACCCACATGCGCGACGCGTGGTATATACACGGACGCGACGACCGCACGATCGATTGGGAGAGGATGACGCAGCTCCGCGGCCCTTCCGCTGAAACAGGAGATAGTCGTAATAGACTTTTGCAAGATGACGCGCTTATGTCCCTCGACGCTCTTCGCGAGCCCATACATTTATATATCGAGTTTGTGAGCTTCGGCATTTTAACTGCAATGGATGCGCCGATAACGCGTCTGCAAGTTACTTTACTCCCGACAGACAGAGAAATTACTTGGTCAGTTCGCGACGACGACGACGACAACGAAGACGACGACGACGACGACGACAACGACGACGACGATGTCGACTACGAGGCCTAAAACTTTGCTCATTCCAAGAGTAAGTGCTCTATCCTCGGGCTATTCTACTGAGAATTCAACGACATTGACAAATCGATATTAGCGAGCTGAACTTGTCTTTCCACCTTGATAATCGACAAGTTTGGCGAAACGATAAATGCCGGCGAAACTTATAAGAAAAAACGTGTAAGTTAAACGTAATTCAAGCGAGTTCCCGAATGTAAGAGTCGTGCACCTTATCGACGGAAATTCTGCCAAGGAGGCGCGGGATACAGAAAACTATTACGAAGATAGCGCGAAATCAAAAGAAATCAGCGGTGACAAAAGGGGGGGGGGGTGCCGAAAGAAATATGCCAGCAGACTTTTTCTTCTATTGTGATGAGAATTCGTAACTGAAATACAAAAGCTATTTGAAATTCCGTTAAAATAGCGAACTCGTGACAATTGACATTCGCTCTGATATAGCTCCGTCAAAATGAAGTATAGATTCTTTTGTAATATAGAGAGAGACTAAAACAATATACAGGATTTTTCAACGCGCCTACTCATACTTACTGCAATAGCTTTGTTAAAAAGCCGTCAGATCACCAGAGAAAGCAACACCCTGACACCTAACACCCATTAAGAGAGTCATCTCGTCGGCACCGGCCGTCAGAACCAGCCACTCACTTGGATGCAAACTAGAAGTATCGAACGGGCGCACGAGTCCTCGCAGCCGCGCGTAATTTCTCGCCAACATCGCCCAACGAGACTCGGGCAGCAGCGCAGCACGCGACGTAACGGCGAGGCAGTCATCGAGAGAACCAGCTGCGAACGTCCCCGGCGAAGAAGGATATCCCCCTTTTGTCAAAAGCGCACTGCCGCTCTCTCCGTCGCGTTATCCACACCGGAAGTCGACCTGCGCGAGCTCTGCGCGCTTCCTGTTCCCCTTTCACCGACCACGCGACACTCGAGCTCGTCAGCCGTTCGGCAACATCTCGACAACAAATAAAAGACGGGGGAGGCATAGTCTTGTTTCTTCTTTTCGAGCGAGTGCCGAGTGCCGTGTAGCTTTCTATTTCGGAACGCAAGGTACTTTAGACTTGGAATCGGACGGCTGAGAATATCGTTGCGCGACGAGTGCAGAACGTGTACGTCGACTTCGAACCGCACTTTCCCTTCGACTTTTCACAGACGACTGATTGTCGGCTGATTTATTACGCCGCAGCCAATTATAATGCTCGTTCTTGTACATATGGCGGCTCGTATGGGAAGAAAAATGGCGCAGCCTACATCGGCAAAAGTCGTTCGATAGCGAACAGCGTCGACAAGGGCAGAAGAATAGATTGGCACACATACAGAGCTTACTTCTTTAAGAGCTGCAGGCACAGGTATATGGAGCACGAACGACCTTCGCAGTGAGCGCACGCTCGAAAATCTTACATGCTGGTTTCCTCGCTATAGCAGGCTGCTGCTCGCGAAATCGGGTCAACCCGTCCGCAAAGCGATAAGCGTACAGAAAATCTCACCGCCGCACGCGAACTCGCACAGCTAATCAATGCAGGCGGCTACTTTACTTGTACACAACGCATAAGCGATGACCCGCTTATTTCGCTCTTTTCTTTGTCGTACGCGAATCGTTCGATTTTAACACCGGTGAGCTAATGCACACGTAACCTTCAATTTCCCGACGAATAATCATTGCCGCGAGCGTTATCTTATCAGGCCGCGTCGCCAATTCTGGCGAAAGGCCGAGATGCGAGCGAACGATTCCCAAAGTTCTCGCTCGCAGCGGTTGTACGCGCCGAGCGAAAGACAAGCAGAGAGAATAGCCGTGCCGTTAACGATCACTTATCAATTCGTAAGGCGGCGCACGCACTAATTCGCGCGCGCCCGTATATGCCGAGCCGCTGACCAGACGCGCAGACGAATAAACCGCTTGCCGGGCGCGCGTCGCGAATCGCCAAGCACGCTCGCGCGGGGCCTCTTCCGTTTTTTCCGTTTATTCCTTTGGCGCGCCCGTGGACGTCGAGTCGCTCGGCGCGTCGCCGCGACGGGGGGCACGAAACGGAAAACCCGCGTTCGCCAGCGCGAAAAAGGGGGGCAGCACAGCCGCGACTTTGCGCGCGTAAGCGGCTTCGACAAAGCCATAGTTTGCGGACGCTAGGCTTTCCGGGAACGCAAGCGCGACGAGTCGTTGACGTCGACGGCTCGTCCTCTGCTTCTGCTTATTGCGCGACGCAGCGCATTTCGGCGGAGCAATTTCCAGCCGCGCACGCGCGCACAATGAGTTTTCTCGATGACAATGGCCCCGCGGTCGTGTACTTTCATTACGTAATCGTTCATCTAGGGCACATTCATTCGTTTCCGCTCTCTCATCGAGAATGGGCTTTTTTTCTTTTCACCTGTGTTTTCCTTCCTCTTTCGTTTTAATTAAGGGGATTTTTCCTTTTCGCAACGCAATATTCCGTCAAACCACGCGTGAGATGTGGCTAATGAAGGCAAAGTAACGCGATACGTAGATACAAGTGGATCACGCCTATACCGCACATGCACTGAGAAAACGAAAAATGGTGAAATGATGAGAGAAACCATCCCTCCCTAACAAACCTGGAGTTGACAGCGTTTTTATCTCATGTAGCGACACTTCTTCCTTCTTCGGAGTGACAGTCACACTGCGAAGAGAGAGACAGAGAGAGAGAGAGAGATGACTTTTTATTCTTTCTTTTTTTTTTCTTTTTGGTGCGTTGGATAATGAAGAGCGCGAAAAATTTTCCCGCGGCCCCAATTTCACCCTTCAGGCAATTGTTGCATGCATATCGGGTTCCCATGGCGCGCAGTAAAATTGAGATGATGGTGATTCTCTTCTTTCGTAAGAACGTACGCGCTTTCCTAATCGTTTTCTTCTGGCGCCTTTCAGCATTAAACGCGCCAAACTGCGCGTACGGAAAGTAGGTCGATTCCGAAAACAACGAATTTCGAGCGTTCGCGTGTGCGCTGCGGTTTTATATGCGCGCGAAAGCTGATAGCTTCGAAGACGATACGATTTGCATTTTTTTTTTCGTGAGAATTCCGTTCCTCCTTTTTTTCCTTTTGTTTTTGAGTGTCTTAATGGCTAATGAAAAGATTTTTTTACTTTGAGAAAGTGTTTGGCTCCGTTTTCGGTGACCACGGGAGTTTTTTTTTTAATAGCAAGAAACGGCTTTAAATAGTCGGACCTCGCGTTGGCCAACCGGGCACATAATTATTTCAGACATACACTATTGCGCACGGCAACAAAGCGCGAGAATTGATTGGCGCCATATTGCTGTGCACAATAGCTTATGTGCAAAATAATTTCGTGCACGACCGACGGTTCCCCACCAAATGACAAATAAACATATCAGAAGCAACGTTAAAGTTACTTTACAAGCAACCTTGACGGCATGCGGAAAAATTTGGGGATGCTGTTTTAGCTAGTTACTCCAGCGATTCAGAATCACACTGTCGTTGTACTCGAAAATATTCGAAAAAACAAAAATGTTCGATGTATCTTTCACGTTTTGAAAAATTGTCACCTTCAAAATGAAAAAAAGTAATCCCTTACTCTTTTTAGCGTCAAAAATAAAGTTTACAACGTAACGCCTAAAAAGACCAAAAAAAAAAGTGGCCCTTATACAGGAGAGTTGCGTTGGCGCGCGGGCGCCCAACACCTGGCATTGCCCAGCACGTGTCGTGTGTCGAAAACGCTTGCCAGGCCGCGCAGTGATGGATCGCGTGTCCCGAGCTGCTCGGCCGAGCGTAGAAACGGGGCAGGTGCGACTGGTAGAGCCGATAGCCCTTTTATCTGGGCCGTTCTCGCGCGCGATAAGTCAACGAGGATATTTATGCACTGTGGGCGAAGGGTCGGTTAATCGACTGCGCCTCGCGGTTCTTCGCTGATCGCGCGCACCGAAAGTTGCCAGCGCGCGTGTGCTCGCGTTCGGCAAAATACGCGCGAACGGGGGGGGGGGGGGGTGTCGAAGATCGAAAAAAGTACTCCGAGGGGATTGTACACGAATCTCAACACCGTCGTACATTCGCCAGCGCCCGGATAAATGGCGAAAGATCGAGGGTTGAGATTCGCGTAATGTATCTGCTATGCGCGTATGACGTCACGCACGGCGGCGACGACGGCGACGACGACGACGAAAAAGCTAAATATTACTGGATTGACGAGTAAGACTCGTCTGACGTACGCGAGCGCTTTATTTATAAAGACGCGAGACGAATTGGCAGATGAGAATCCGATATATTTTTAGTTTTAGCAAAAGACAAGATCGCGCTACACGTGCGCGTGTCAGCGAACGACCACGAGATAAAGGAAACGGATACGCTTCTCGTTCTCTTTTACAGTGGACGATTTTTCGCTCACGGCGTTATTTCATCGATTCCCTAGAGGACACGAGTCGCTTGCGTGAAATCTAATCTCGCGTCTAATCTATGCCCACGCGCGCCTCAGCCCGGGTAGAGTGACCGCAATAATGTCTCTCCGTTTCTTTTTCTTTTTTCCTCCTTCCCCCAACGCTTCGCTGCCTCTTCGTTACCCAATGCCACGTTCAATTTTTGACGCTTACGTCGAGAACAGCACAGCGCACAGCCCCGAAGAATGCACAACGCACCAACACTCGGCAGAGCAATCAATTCGGCTGGTCGGCGGGACCAGCGAACGCATACGCGCGGAAAAGGCGGCCGTTACGCGAAGAACGTCGGCGCCGCACTGACATAAACGCGCAGCACTCCGCGGAGAGCTGGGAGAGGCGGCGGGGATATAACTCTGCTTCGCCGGCTTGCCGCTCGCAGCGCGCTCTTCCCTGTACGATCCTCACGTGTTGTGTGTGCGGGAAGAGAAAGAGGATGCGTTGGTTGTCGCGTGCCTTATGCGCGTTCGAATGTACACATGGCAGTTGGCGAGACGCAGCGCGCATCTTTTTCTTTTTGTCCTTGTCTCGAGCGGCGACGGTGCCGTGGTTGGGAGATGTGTTATTAGTGCTTTTTTTTAAATCCCATGCACGACGTATTTTTGCTAAAAGAAGGAGAGGAAATGGAATAACGTGTCTCGAATAATTATTCAAGTAGGAAACGTCAAATCGGTGTTAAAAACTCTCTTTTTTTGTGACAACGAGCCATTTCCCCATCGTTCGGAAAACAGAAAGCAAAATCAGCGCAGTAAAAGTGTTTCTCAAAACGGCCCCGACGAACAATGTACCTTCCTGCAATTACAAGCGCAATGAAAATGAGCAAAGAAAAAAAAACAAAGTGTACAATTTTCTAGAAAGTTACGGTTGACAATATCGCGAATATATATACCGGTTTCAACAACGAAACCACCTATACAAAATGCTCTCCCTTTTGTTTTTTGCCACATAATTTTTTTTTTTTTATTTAAGAAAGTCGTTCAAGTTTTCTTCGCGCAATCCCGTTCGACTTTATTCTGTGGAAGTAGTTGGAGATTCCTTCTCATATCCTCCCCGTATAACCGTCACTTTTAATCGTATCATTTCTTTTGTTCTCGCATAAATGTGCGCCTATGAAATATTTTTATAGCTCTGGCTACTGAGGAAATGCTTCGCAATGAATAATATCGCAGGGGCGAAGTTTAATATTAATGCGACGGAATTGCATGTCATTTCGCATCGTATATTCCATTAGCAATCGTACACGAGTAACGCTATCGATAAAATGGTATATCGATCGTGTGCCACAATAGTCCCACATATATACGCATTGCCTTAGGATGGCGTGGGAGTTGTATATACGTCGAACGCCCCTCAAGCTCTGTCCGTCAGGGGCCTTCAAGATTTTGTTTGTTCGCCAAGCGTACGGCGGATGTGGGAAGTGCAATTTTTCCGAAAGTCGTATAAATCAATGCTGTTTGCCTCCGTCTGAGCATGGAAAACTTTTACTGCAACTCACGAATCTCTGTGGAATCGCTCTCGTGTTTTTCCCGTAGCGCGCGCTGCTCTTGGCTCTTGGCTCTTGGCTGTGCGCTGAAGGCGCAAACGCGTCGTGCATTTCTACCGTGGCTTCGCTAATTCGACCAATTTTTTCTTGTTCTCCCCTCCCCACTTTCGCGTACTCTTCGGTAGTTGGTTTTTTGTCTAATGTGCTAAGTGTTTATTGCAGGTAAAATCTGACATGCGTTAACATGACATGAAAATGCCAGAATAGTGCAATTTCGACGAACTATCAATAAATGAAATGTATGATGCTTTTATCATCTTACATAAAGGTCTATTACTGTACTTTATTTTGTGACAAATAAATTAAATTCGATTGAATATATCTTCATTTATAGCTATGCCTTATCTTTCTTTATCCTATGTATGATCTGAAAATGCAATACGACATCTAACGATTATAACCTAACAATAAAATATGAATAAATATCATTATCAAAAATAATCGAAGATGTCTTCAAATGTGTTATTAAAATACCCAAGCTCGAATCACAAAACGTATTATTTACGTGTTTCAAAAGTCACTATAACATTGTTTCAGCACTCGAAGCAGTCGCATCGCCCCGAAAAATTTACATGCGCCAAGAAACTTTAGAAGAAGTAGGCCAAAGTAACATATCATAATACACGCGCGCCCTCAATCATTTTTCTATCATCTTATAGGTAGGTGCTTTGACGCCGGACAGCTTTGTATCTATTTTGAGCGCCTCGATGTTTGGGGAAAGGCGGCGCGAAATTAGTCCGTGAGCGCGTGTGTGGTAAAGCTTCGATGATTGCGAAAGCGTACTGATGCACGTCTAATGCGGTTTTACTTCTGAAGATAGGTGATCTGAAGCGGGAGGCGGGAGGGGAGGGGGGAGAACGAAGGGAGCAAAAAAGGGCATCACATTGTATGAAATTTTTTCGAGTGACGTCAAGTCATAAACAGCTCGTGTGCCGTGGCGGCGACTCCCACCGGAAATTGCATTCAATGGGGCTTCAACTTCGTAGGTGCGCCATTTTAATGGGTCAATCGGAATTCATAACGAGTGAATAAGCAGCGCTTTTGTCCAGCCGTCACTTTTTTTTACCCTCGTACATTTCTTTTATCGACAATGCAACAGGTTGTTATTTTAACAGTTGCTCATTTTATTGGCCACTTATGTTTGAAAAATGCAGTTGGTGAGGCGACGAAGTGGTTGTGCGCAAATTAAAGTGTCATTTCGCGTTGTTTTGAAGTTTCTGGTAGGTTTGACCGATTTTTGGTTGACGGCTCAATCTATTGAAGAGTAAAAGCTGATTCCATGTAAATATTTTGATGTCAGTTTCCTTGATCGATCATGAAATAGGCAACGATAGGTGACATTCATTTCTTAGTCAAGCCTGAGTACTACACTCGAATGTTCTTTTTTTTCGGTATTTACAAGACTCATCCTCGAAAACTGTATGGCGTAGACATATCGACAGACACTCAAGCCACCTACAGCGTTGAATAACAAGCGCCAGCTTACGAAACGATGAAGTTTACGAGAGTACGCGCATTTTTACGACTTTCGATGCACTTTTATGTACGCACGCGTATGCACGCGGATTTATTTGCGGACAAAAGGAGTCAACGGCTTATCGGGAGCTTTCTGCGGAAGCAACGAACTCGCGTCAACCCCCGCAGTGATCAAACACTCCCGGCTTATCGAAAAAGAAAGTTAAGTCGCGCAGAAGGATGCCCTTAATTGCCTCGCTGTGGAAAGTTTTCTCTTTCCTCGCTGAGCCCAAATAATTCGTAGCTACGTGAAATGTCGGTCCGTAAATTGATATTCAGCGAAGTATGTCGCGCAAAGTAAAGAAGCTTCGAGCAAAAAAATCTCTCGAGAGCGACTCTTGGTCGATGTGAATAGTGCTGACGGCTGAGCGACAGCTGCTGTGCAAGCTCGATCTAATGCAATCGCGCAAATGGAAATGCACTTGTAATACACTGCCGGCAGAAAAAAATAAAAGGCAGCCTCTATTTATCCGGAAAAACTCTTGGGGTAAGTTGCAAATTCCAACGGGATTCGACGATGTGGGTCAGCTTAATTAAAAAAATACTTGCGGATTTTTCCTGCTCCAATTCAATATTTCTATCCGATAAACCGCACCGCACTTTGCATGGGCAAGAGCAGTTCTTTTGATCTATTTCTCGCGAGAGACTGTTTTACATTTTATTTTTGGAACGTTGGCTTGTATGCATAACAAGCTTACGTTCGCGGATGATACAACCACGTTGGCCTGTTTTTTTTGACGTATCTTGCTTTCGTCGGTTACTTCTTCATCCCTAGAATATGCAACGAAAGTCGAACGTACCTGCAACAAAACAATGAAAAAGAATATTGTTATATGATAGGATTCCGTAGGCATTCAGCAATCTCTCTCTCTCTCTCTCTCTCTCTCTCTCTCTCTCTCTCTCTCTCTCTCTCTCTCTCTCTCTCTCTCTCTCTCTCTCTCTCTCTCTGACAGAATACTAGATTGCATACCAAAACCAGTAAAGTATTGGCTTTACCTCGCTTGTCAATTTTTACGTACTATAGACTTACCAATACTTTACCGGTCTTGGTAAGTAATCTACTATTCTCAATTCTTTGTGTGGGCAGTAAACATGGAATGTGTAACAGCACGATTCATTTGTCAAAGCTGGAAGCAAGCGTACGAATTCATTTGAATAAGCAAACCAGTATCTCAGACTGATGGATAAATTAAGATTGAAAATTAATAGCAAATTGGAGTAAACAATCAAGGAGTGCCATGTTCGGGTTTATGACATTCAGAGTTTCTCTGGATGCAAATCATCTTTTCGAAGAGTTTGTATAGGTTAACACAATTAAACACATGCGTTTGAAAAGTATAACGAAACTATAATCAATGTCGATACAAGAAATATTAAAAAAAAAGATTCCCTTTTTTAAGCAAATAGAGCTAATTAAACAATCACGATAGCCGAAGTTATTAAAAAAAAGAAAACAGACTTATAAAGAGAGACTCGTTTAAAAAGAAGATTCGGTAGTACTTCTACATGATAATTTATACCTAAATTCTGAACAAAATTATATCGAGGATCATGTGGAAGATGATGAATTTCAATGAGGCAATAACTAAAATATTCATTAAATATAATCGTTACACAAATCCAAATTAAAGCTTTACGTGGATGACGTTCAAAGATGCTATAATCAAAAAATAATTTTATCCTTAATATAATGATCATTTCAAAACTATTTATTTTTTATACTTTGAAGTTCTTTATTTTATTGGGTTTCAACTTCAAACAAGTACATTAGAGAGATAGGCTTATCCAATTTCGCATCGCGATTATTTTGCTGGTTTAGATTGACTTTTTCTATGCACGATATTTTAAAAAAAAAGATCTTCAATATTAAAAATAGTCTTGTGTTAACTACATCTAGTTATATAGGACACGGGCATGACTATTTAAATCAAAGACTTCACCCGTACATTTAAATTGAATTCAACTCAAACAAAGCTTTTAATTTCATTAATTTACCTCCTACATTTCAGTAACCTCAAAAATAATATCTTTCTTTTTTATATGAGTAATGATGATACAACATTAAAAAATGTTGTTTTGTATAGAATATTGTCTTGTACTATCGCGCGAGTTGGCATTTGAATGATATGTCAGTGAGATAGCATTATAGTGCGCTGTTTTTTGAAACTGCATTATACAAAGCTTCTTAGAGTTCACATTTTATCAAGGGCTGTATTCAGAATATGTCGAAACGCTG